AGATAAAAGGAAAAGTAACAAGATAACAAACAAAAGTGAGAATTTCTTATTTCACCATGTACTTTTCCATAAACAAATCATACAAACTTGTAGGTTTATATATAAGTTAAGGAACATGTGGAGATTATATTAGCTATTGAATAGGATTAAAATAAGAGAATGAATGGCACCTTAGTGGAGCCATGAATGACATCTTAATAGACCCTTAAATGGCCTTTAGTGGAATTATGAATGACCCCTTAATGATGAGGAGTTACAACATGGAAGAAAGTGAATGTGAAGGTGAAGGTGAAGGTGAAGCATCCACCAATAAAAAAAAATTCACAATACTTCCCCTTGGATGCTCATCTTTTTTTGTGTTATACGCTTTTAAACTATTTCATTAAAAACCTTACTAGGAAAAACCTAATGGGATAAAAACAATAGTGAAGGGAAAAAGAGCGTAGTACATATAATACTCATAGCGAAGGGAAAAAAAGTGTACTATGTATAATACTCCCCCTTATTTCAACAAAGTTCTTTAAGACATTGCATGCCTCTCTTGTGTACAAGTTGTTCAAAAACTTTGGTAGGCAATGACTTTGGGAACAAATCTGCAAGATTTTCATTTGAACTGATTTGTTGAACATCTATTTTACCAATATTTTCAAGTTCATGTGTAAAGAAAAACTTTGGAGAAATATGTTTAGTTTTATCTCCTTTGATGAATCCTTCCTTTATTTGTGTAATGTATGCAGTATTGTCCATGTATAATAAGGCAGATTTTCTATAATTGCTTTAAAACCACATGTTTCTTGAACATGCTGGATAAAAAATCTTAACCATACACATTCTCGACGTGCCTCATATAGGACAATCAATTCTAAGTGATTTGAGGATGTGGCTATAACGATCTGTTTGGTTGAACATCAAGAAATTGTGGTACCACCATATGTGAACCAATATCCAATTTGTGATCTTCCTTTATGGGGATTAGACAAATATCAAGTATCTGCATATCCAATGAGCTCTGGTTTTAAGTGTTTTGAGTAAAATAATCCCATGTCTTTTGTTCTTTGAAAATAACAAAATAAATGTTTAATGCCATTCAAATGTCATCATGTTGATGCAGAATTATATCTTGCTAACAAATTCACAAGAAAACACAATATCAGGTTGCGTATTGTTAGCTAAATACATTAATGCACCTATGACACTTAAATATGATACTTCAAGACCAAGGATTTCTTTGTTATCTTCACGAGGTTAAAAAGGATCTTTCTTTACATCAAGGGATCAAACAACCATTGGAGAGCTTAAAGGATGAGATTTTTCCATATTAAATCTCTTCAATGTCTTTTCAACGTAATTTAGTTGATGGAAAGAGATTCCATTTGTAAGCGCTCGATTTGTAAACCGAAATAGAATTTTGTTACTCCAAGATCTTTCATCTCGAATTCTTTCTTTAAATATTCAATTGCCTTTTTAAGCTCTCTAAGCATCTCAACGATAATTATATCATTAACATATACAGCAATTATAACAAAACCAGGTTTTGACCTCTTAGTAAAGACACACGGGCTAATAGGATTATTTTCATATTCATCTTTTAGGAGATATTCACCTAGGCAATTGTACCACATTTGCCCTAATTATTTCAAATCATACAAAGACTATCTTAATTTTATAGAAAATATCTCTCTTGGTATTGAGTTGTATATGTTAGGCATTTTAAGTCCAATAGGGACTTTCATATAAATGTCACTGTCAAGTGATCCATATAAATAAGCAGTTACAACATTCATGAGGAACATTTGAAGGCCTTCAGAAACTACTAAACTTATTAAAAACTTGAATGTAATTGCATCCATCACAGGAGAATATGTTTCCTCCTAGTCAATGCCAGGTATTTGTGTAAAGCATTGAGCTTCAAGTTGGCTTTTTATCTTACAACCTCATTTTTCTCATTTCATTTTCTCATGAACACCCATTTATAGCCATTAGGCTTTACATTATTGGGTGTTTGGACAATTGGTCCAAAAACTTGGTGTTTTTCTAATGATGTTAATTTTGCCTAAATTGCATCTTTCTATTTTGACCAATCACTTCTTTGTTGGCATTCTTCAATGGATTTTGGTTCAAGATCCCCATTTTCATTGACTAAGTCATTGACTATTGCAAATGCAAAAACATCATCAATGACAACATCACTTTAATTTCACTTTATCCTAGTGGAAATATAATTTATTGAAATCTCATTATTATTTATAATTTCTGCATCTCCATTGTTTTCAAGTACTTGAACCTTTTCTAAGGTTATTTCTTTAGATACATTTTCTAATTGTTGTTTAGTGAACTTTTGAGTCTCTACAATTTTAGTGGTGCTAGCATTTTGCTTTTGCTTTCTCTTCATTCTTGGATTTCTATCTTTGAAATTGATAGGTCTACCATGCTTTTGGCCTATAATAGATTCATTTGCTACTGTCTTAGCACCTTAGCACCTTTTTCAACATGAATATTAATTCGAGTAGGAGTATTCAAAGTTAGGATGTGTGAACTAGTTACTTTCTTTGCATTGGTATCATCAGGCAATTGATTTGCAATCTATTGCAAATGAATAATTTTCTGAACTTCTAATTCATTTTGACCTATTTGAGGGTTTAAATGAGATATAGATAATGCATCCCAAGTTAATTCTTGTTTTTTTAACTTTTGTTTCTCTCCCTCTAATGTTGGGAACATGTTTTCATCAAAGTGACAATCAACAACTCTTGCAGTGAAAAGACCATTGGTCATTAGTTCAAAATATTTAATTTATAGATGGTGATTCAAAACCAATATAAATTCATAGTCTTCTTTGGAGACCCATTTTAGTGTGTTGTGTAAGAGCGATATAAACATATGTAGCACAACCAAAAATCTTTAAATGGGATATATTTGGTTCAATCCTAGAAACAAGTTGTAATGGTGAATACTTATGATAAGTAGTTGAACTTAATTAAATTAATGCTACAACATGCAATATAGCATGACCCCAAGCAGAAAAGGATAACTTTAACCTTATAAGTAGCGATCTTGCAATTAATTATAGACGCTTAATAAGAGATTCAGCTAGACCATTTTGTGTATACATATAAGGAATTGGATGCTTAATAGTAATCCCAATTGACATACAATAATCATTAAATGATTGGGATGAAAATTCTCCTGCATTATCAAGTCGAATCCTTTTTATTGTATAATCAAGAAATTGTACCCTCAAATTTATTATTTGTGCAAGAAGCCTTGCAAATGCAAAATTGCATGTAGATAATAAGCAAACATGTGACTATCTTGTTGAAGCATCTATCAACACCATAAAATATCAAGATGGTCCAGATGGCAAATTTATAGGCCCACAAATATCTCCTTGAATCTGTTCAAAAAATAAAGGAGATTTATTTTCTATTTTAGTTGCAGAAGGCCTGATAATTAATTACCAAGGAAGCAAGCAACATACAAAAAATCACTTAATAATAGAACTTTCAAGTTCTTTAATGAGTGTCCATGTGAACTTTCTATAATTTTTTGCATACCTAGATGACCAAGTTGATTATGCCAAAAGATAAAAGCATCTAAATTGACTAATTTCTAATTAGTCATAGCATTGGATTCTATTTGATGTATATATGTATAATACAATCTAGAAGAGAAGGTTAACATTTTCTCTAATATTTTCCTTTTTCCAAATACAGAAGTTGTGACATAGAGGAATTCTATTCCATTTTCATTCATGGTTTTAATATGAAAACCATTATAATGTATATCCTTAAAACTTAGTAGATTTTGATTT